CGTGGGAGGCTGTAGGGTAATTGGGGCTATAGGAGGAGATACATGGAGGCAATATGGGGATATAGGAAGGTGTGAAGGAACATCAGTGGGCTGTAGGGTCATACTGGGCTTTGGGGGGCTGTGGAGGGATATGGGGGGGCAGTAGGGTACTATGGGGTAAAGAGGGCTGTAGGGTAATGTAAGGCTACAGGGGGCAGTCGGGGGATTCACTGGGGGAAGAAGAGGATCTGAATGAGGAAATGGGGAGGGGGGGGCAAGGGAGCCTTAGGGTGAGAATAGGGGGAATCGGTGGGGGGAGGGAGAGAGGACAGCGGTGGTCAGAATGAGGAGTTTCATGGGGGGTTGGATAGGAGAGACTCCTCTCCTCCACTGAGGACAAGGAGAGGCCTGAGGGCCTCAATGCCTTTTTTATGCCTGCCTTTAACAGCCAGGCCAGTCATCCTCTGGGCTTTTGATGCCCCGGTCTGGAAGTCTGGGCGCTGCTCAGAATTTGCCCCCAGCCATTCCGGTGGAGACAAACAGAGAGCTGCTCCTCCAAGTCACAAGTCCATGGGACCGGATGGGCTGCACCGTGGTGCTGAGGGAGCTGGCGGGATGCTGCCAGGAGCTGGGGGTGCTGGTTGGTGCTCTTCCCCTAGTTGGTCTTACGGGGGGTTTCCAACCTATGTGGGAGGGGAAGGGACCCTGGGGACAAGAATGGAGAGTGGGGGGCGCTGAGGAGGGGGGGGTCAAAAAGGACTGCAGGAACTGGAGTGGGGAGGCTCTAATGGTCAGCTGGGATGGGACCGGGGGGAGAGTGACAGCATGGCCGCCGCCTCCTCGCGGTGCAGGGTGATGACGTCACAGCCCAGCTCAACCCTGCAGCTCCTCCCTCCCCCCAGCCCCAAGGCGCTGCTCCAGTCATCACCCCCAGCGCAGGCAGAAAATCATCAACGTTTTACTTTAATTACTGCCATCTAATGATCTCCGCTGCCTGTTACGGATCGCCGTGGATTTCCACCCTGTACACGCAGGTGTGCTCCGTGTTTCCCCAGTTGCTCCACACCTCCAGCTTGACACGGCTGAAGGCTTTGCGGGGCTCCTCCTGCTGACACAAAGACGAGAGGCTTCGTTACGCACTGCTGCTGCTGCCGCTCTCTGCTCCAGCAGGGAGAAAAAGTGCTTCCAAAGCTGGGATGGCTGCCTCGTCTGTCTGCCCCGCAGGAGTCGGCCGCAGAGCACAGCAGATCAGAGCAGGCTGAGCAGGCAGACCCTTCCCTCCTCCTCCCCGGCAGCCTGCCACACGCGCCAGCCATACCTGCACGTGGAAGGTCTGGGCGATCTCTCCGTCCAAGTCATAAACAAAAAGCCCCAGGAGAGTTTCACCGTCGGCCTCATCCACTCCCTGAAAGGCAAGAGAGGATTTGGGTCATGCTTAGGCAGGCCGTGCAGGAAAGAACGCGCCGAAGCCAAAGCCCAGAGCCCTTCACCCCACATCAGCTCTGCAGGGTTGGAGCACAAAGGAGGGTGAGCCTGAGTCGGGGCATGCGGAGCAATTCAATTGGGACACGAAGAGCAGCAGAGGCCTCTGGAGGCGTGAAACCACCCCGAGGGCCCCGGTGCCCTTAGGCAGGATGCCGTGCTCTGCAGCAGCCGCCGCAGCTCTCTGGGAGCTCCTACCACCAAGGGGTCTCACGGGGCTCTGTAGCAAAGCTTTTCCTCGGGGCCCTCCAGGAAAAGCAGCGGGCAGAGACTTACCAAGACAGCAAACTCTTTGGGAGCGCTACTGACTTCCCCGGAGGGAGAGACCGCCTTGGAGACGTGCCACACGGTGAGAGCTGTGGGCTGGATTTTCTTCGGCAGCCAGATAAGCGCGTGGCCCCGGGATCCTCGGAAAGCCCAGCAGTTTCCAGGAGAAATATGGGGCTGAAACGAGGAGCGGTCTGTGAGCGGCGAGGCACAGCCCCAGGGCTGGCTGTTGGCAAGGAGCACAGAGCTCGCCTTCTCTGTGGCTGCCGCTCTCCTCGTAATGGAACAGCAGTCAAGGGACAGGAGGGGACATGCAAAGGTCTGGACGACGGCTCTGCAGTCAGTCGCCTTCTGTGCTTGCCCAGAGCCGGCAGCGCAGCCCTCCGGCATCTGTCAGCCCATCGCCCTCCCGAGCTGGTGTCAGTGATGTGGGGAAGTGTGGGCTGAGCAGCGCAGCTGGGCCAAGGGAATTGCTGCAGCCAGAAGGCGAGGCAGGGAACCCACAGGCACCGTTTCCCCTGCCGTGACTGCAGCAGCGTTTCGGGAGGGAGAAAGCCAGTGGTTCTTCCAGCCATCATAACTCTTGGATGTCCTCTCCAAATCCACAGTGGCACCTGCAATAAAGATGGAGAGGTGTGCACGAGGGCGGCCCAGTGGGGAGCTGGAGGAGCGAATGCTCGCTCCCTGAAGCTCCTGGCGGGGCTCTGGGGTGCAAAATCCCTCCCTCTGTGTGTGGGAACTGTGGAGTCCCAGCCTGAGGCACTGATGGAGCACATGGGGAAAGGAGCCGCTCAGCCCCACGAGCACAGCTGGAGGCTTTTTAAATCCTCAGAGAGGGAAGATTTAGATGGGATGTCAAGAGGAAATTCTTGATCTTGATCCCCATTGGGCAGCGAGGCCCTGCAGTGTGCCACCCGGAGAAGCCATGGATGCCCCATTCCTGGAGGCCAGGTTGGACGGGGCCCTGAGCACCCGATGGAAAGGCTGGCAGCCCTGCCAACGGCAGGGAGCTGGACTGCGGTGCTCTGTAAGGTCCCTGCAGAGCTCAGCCGTTCTAAAGCTCCATGAGATAACTGACAGAAAGCAGAGCTCGGCAGGCTATGGGGAGCGCCAGACGGAAGCTGGGGGCAGTGAAGCTGTCTGCCCACGTACCCATGGTTTCCAGAGCCCAGTTGGGCATCCAGGTGCCGTTCTCCACGCTCTTCTCAATGGCGCGCTGTGTCAGCTGCAGAATTTCCTGGCAACAAAGAGGGAACGGAGAGACAGCAGTGAGCACAAACGCAGGAGGAGATGGGTGTGAGCAGGGAGTCCTAAGGGAGGGCGCTGTGTCCTTCCAGAAATCCGGCAAGATCTTCCAGAAAGTCGCCCCGATGAGCCACGGGACTCAGAGACACAAAGATGGACCTCGGGCTCTGCCTGCTCCCCTTGCTGCCATCTCCAGAACAGCCTGGGCAGCCGGAGCACAGCGCTGCCTCTGGAAAGGGCTGAGAGGAAGCAGGAGGCAGCAGTGCTGTTACCTTTCTCTTCACTCCATGGATCCCGTTCTCCCGGAGGACATCAAACATGGACTGCAGAATCAGGTCCTTGGTGGCCGACAGCTGAGTGCTTTTCACATTCAGCTCCTGCCTCTTCTCCAGCCAAAGCGGTGAGTTCCTGGAGGCAAAGGCAAAGCGAGTCTTGCTCAGCACTGCTCACCCCGCAGCTCACAGCTCCAGAGCCGTGAGGTGAAGCGTCCTGGGGGGTTGTGCCCTTCCTTCTCCCCCAGCCTCTTCCCTTCCCCCACTCATCCTTCAAATCCATGCCTCTCCAGGTAAGAGAGCAGGACGTGGTGAGGAACCATGCCAAAGGCTCTGCAGAAGTGCAGGTCGATGACATCCACCTTCCCCCATCCTCCATCATCAGAAGCCACCAGGTTGCTCCGCTCTGCCCTCAGCGCAGCTGCGCTGGCTCTTGGGTCACCGCTCGGTCCCTCACGTGCCGTGACGCAGCTTCAAGGAGGATCTGCTCCGCCATCTTCCCAGGTGCAGAGCTGAGGCTCACCGGCCACTGGTTCCCCAGGTCTTCCTTCCTCCCTTTCTGCAGAGGTGGAAGCATTCCTTTGTGTCCCCACGCAGAGTTGTTGAGGAGGAGCGAGGCTGCTCTCCCCTTGAAGCTGCAGTGACAGTTCTGGAGCTGTCGCTCACGGGTTCCTTTTGCTAAACTTGCATGTTGGTTCTTAAGCTGAAGCGCTGAGCTGAACAGAGCACCCACGTCAGTCCCTGCTTCTCCCCCTCGTCCTCGCGTAGGGATAAGCTTGGAAGGAGGACAGAGGGGAGCATCCTGACGCTGCCTGTTGCGTCCCATCCCCACGGTTCTGCCCTACCCCCGATCGCTCCCCCACCTCCCCAGCAGATTCCAGGTCTCTCCATTCCCCCCACACTCTTCTTCAACCTTGCTGCCCCTCAAGCCTACTCAGGCTTCAAGCCCTGTGTCCCCCCCTTTCCTCCCCCCACCTCCCCATCCCAGGGTATTTCACTGCCCTCCCCCCCCCACGGGTGGCCCACAACCCCCCAAGTCCCTCAGTCTGACCCCTGGGGTTACGCTCCCCCACCTCCAATTCCCCCATTCTCACCAATGGAGTCCTCTTCCCCCCTTCCTTCAATTCCTCCATCAGTGTTTGCCCTCATTCCCCGTTCTGACCCCCAGGGTCCCCTATCTGACCCCCTCCCCCCT